ACTGACCTGTGAATGCTCCTAATGACACATAAGCTTATCACAAATTGGATTGAACAATAAGTGTAGGTAATACAAAATAAAAATTGAATAATGAACAATTGCAGAAAAGCGTCTTCTCTCTAGTTCCTCATTTTTCTGTCTCCCCTTCGCTTCGGTACCTTGTGGCGCGCCTGCGTTCGTCCCTGCTTGACAGCGCATACAAGGTTGCAGCATTTTCCATTTGCTTTTCTATACTAAACATTTTAAAAAGTTAAGATTTGAAGAAATAATATTTTAAATAGGTGGTTTTCCTCACATTCAAGTTCAGTTACTTCACTTTTGGATTCTCCACTGAAAAATTTATGTTTTCTGTCAAATCTGGCATGACTTGATAATTTCCTTCTGTCCCTGAAATTTATTTGGTTAGTGCTGATTCTTTCGAATAGCGTCCATAAGTCCATAGTGTATCAAAAAAAGAACAGAAGCAACAGAGCAACCAATAGAAATTTTATATTGTTTAGGTAATAAAATTTATTTGAAAGGCTGGACAAGACATGAGTAAACTTGATTTCTTTCTAAATAGAGACAATAGTGTCAAAATTCGGCATTGCGGTGATGCATTTTACCGCATTCATTAAATGAGGAATGAGGAATGGGAATTACAATATATCAAATCAAAAATGGTCAAACTTCGAGATTGCCATGAAGTAACTTGATCATAATGAAATGAGTGCGGTAAAGTGAGTATATAAGCTAAAGTAGATTCCTACTTCAAGCACGGTGAAGTACCTACCTACACTTTTTCCCAAGTTTGTAGAAAAATAACATAGAGGTAAGTAATCTGAGAAATTCAACCGCCCCCAAAAGAAATTAGGCACACATACAAGTAAAACACGAAAAACAGTCAAAACAGATACAGAGTTCGCAGAATTTACACAATAACTGGAGAAAGACCCCATAAAACCCCACGAAGACATAAATCAAATTGATAAAAGAATAACGAAATAAAACAAATGCTGGAGAAGAGAACTTATAAAACAAGGAAACAAGATACACTAGAATACAACAAAGAGACTAACAAAATTGCCAGAAGGATGAAAAAAGAAGACATTAAAAACTACCAAGAAGCACGAATCGCAAAAACCGGTAGAATAACAAAAAGGCTTAAACGTTTTCAAAAGGGAGAATGTACCCAAAACAGAAATTACGAAGCTGATGGACAAATAAGGAAGCATTATAGAAGAGAGAGATGCAATATTGCGTGTGGCGTAAAATTTCTATAAAGAAAAAGCAAGAAAGAAAATAACAATAAAGGAACCAAAAGCGAAACATCCAAAATTCTAATTGTTGGGTCAGGAGAGATCCCTGATATAGAAGACGCAGAAATAGCAAAAGAAAATTAAACAACGGAAAAGCCCTAGGAATGGACGATGTACTACCAGAAATGCTGAAGGAGGCAGGACAATACCTTGTAAATCAACTGAAGACACTTTTCAATAAATATCTAACAGAGACCACACTACTGGGATACTGCCATCGTCGTGCTGATAGGTATACAGGGCCGGCTCCAGATATTTCGGCGCTTGTGCAAAAGGTATTTTTGCCGCCCCTCTTACCGATTATTTTTCTACTTTTTAGTTTTAGTACTATTCTTGGTACCTCCTATTTGCTAGAGTCCTTATATGATATATACTATATTTTTATCATTTTTAAGTTTTTAGTGGAATAATTTTATTACTATACTTATTATTTTAATGCAACCTACAATTGACCTTTTCAATTTAAAAGCTTCTTTCTCTGGGGTCAGACTGTCAGACGCCAAAAGAGTATGAAAACAATGGTTTGAGAGCCGTTGACACTGGTTTGTTGACAAGATTTTTATACGTATGGAAACTGGAAACTATCATTTCCTCGTTTTTTTCAAGGTTTTTTCCTAACAATGGTGATAGTGTGTCTCCTCGTAAAAATAATTCCTATTCACCGGCGGACGTGTCTTTCACTAAGTTTCCATCAAATCTCACATTTGTCAAAATTTGGATACACAAATTCAGAAAGGATACTCGCAAAAGAAAGGGAAATCTACGGCTCATCAAGTATACAAAGTAATATATGTTCAAGTTTATTTTGCGGAAGCTGTCTGCTTTCTAAATAATCCACCACCCTCTCCATAGCGAAGTTCTGCAGATGAAACTGACTTTTCCCAAATTTTGTTTCCAATTTCGAATTCACTACTGCGTTTTTATTCTCATCTTTCACCGATGGATCCACCATTCTATGTCGGTCATTGTCATTTTCCATTCACTTAACAAAGATAGCTAACTCATCGGTGAAGTCACCGATTAGAAATAAAACAAACAAATGTTGGCGGGAAAATGAATGTTTTCATACTATCATCCATCTCTTTTAATTAAAAAGGTCAATTATTAGCGGCAACTCTCAAATAACACCAAAACAGAACCTACAAATCGCTTGCGGACGCGTGAAACAAGCTAGCGATAGATATTTTCGGGTTCTCGTTTTTCGAACTGTTCGCGAACCATCCTGGAACTGCGCAGAACTAGTTGCGTACTTATTCAGTCCTTGGAACTGTGCTCAGATATTTTGGAATTGATCAGAATTTGAAAAAACCCGAACATATTTTATTTTACTTTTTTACAGAGCGATAATTGATGAAATAAATCATGAATCTATTGTAATTTGTAGTGTGTTTTTTTTTTCACCCAACAATTCTCCTCGAAATTTTTGCCGCCCTTCGACTTTGCCGCCCCGTGCAGGGGCACAGGCTGCACGGGTCCTGGAGCCGGCCCTGTAGGTATACAAAAAGAAGACCCATCAAATTTTGAAAACTAGATATACAAATTGTTTATGAAAATAATCACCAACCGCCTAGAAAGGAAATTCGATGATAACCAACCTAAAGAACAAGCAGGCTAAAGAAGGAGCTACAGCACTATTGAACATCTTCACACAATAAAAAAATACTAAATGAAAAGAGGACCGAATATAACATTACAACATGGCTAGCATTCATCGATTTTAGAAAAGCCTTCGCCACTGTCGAAATGTAGGCGATAGAAAGAGGTATGAGAAATGCATGAATAGTTCAGTGATATATAGATATACATAATCAAAAATATTCGAGAAGCAGCAAAAATAAAATTAGGAATACATGAAGGTACAAACGAAGTGAAGATCAAAAGAGGCGTAAGGCAAGGCGATATAATATCACGTAAGCTGCTCACCCTAGCCCTCGAAAATGTGTTCAAGGAACTACATTGGGAAAATAGAGGGCTCAATATCATAATAAATCTGGAGAAAACCTCAAGAATTTAATACTCGCTGATGAGATCGTAATATTCGCTACGGACGAAACACACAGAAATCATGCTAAAATGATTACTTCAAGAAGCAAAGAAGATCGGATTAGAAATCAAAAACAGAGTTTATGACAAATAGGCAAATAGACAGGGACACAATAACCATGGAAAATTAAGACGTGAAATAAGTAAACTCCTACTAGGCCAGGAAATAACGCTTGGAAAAATCAATCAATACCTTGCAATCAATAGGAGAATACCACAAGCTGCAATCGAAAGGAGAATGATAAGTATTACACCAAGTGATCACAAGATCAATAATTGGATAAGGAAAACAACAAAGATCGAAGACAGTACACATAGAATATGCACCTTTAAATAGAACAGGGCCATGTAGCGGAAAACACAAGCAACAACTGGAGTGTAAAAGTAACAAGATGGAGATCCTGGGAGGAACGAAGAAACGTCGGCAGACCTCAACAACGCCGGTACGTACCTAGACATCAAGCGAACAGCAGAACTAAACTGGTATAGGTCGTATAGAATAGAAATACCTGGCAAAATCTGATAGAGCCTATATTCAGAGAATAGAGAAGTTTAGAGAACGGCTAGGAAGGGAGGTAATCTAGATATATCACAGCAGAAAGCTACCAAATCTTTTTTCTTTCAATCTTTGAGGAAGTCATCAAGTGGTTCCTAAATCCATTAAATGGGTGACGCACTGAAACATGAAAAATGGCATTGAATTTTGCGGGTTTGCTAGATTCCCCATCGGGCGCCTTTCCAGATGGATAGAGAAATTCCTGCCAGATATGCGTGCGGTGCCAAAGGATATATAAGAGGTGAGCAGCGTCTGTTCCAGAAACGAAAACTAATTGAGCACAAAAAACTTGGCAGAGTATTCAAAATCATTTAGATATTATTTGAAAGTTGCTATTGCTAATATTCAAAGATCTAAAATTTTCTCTAAGAAACTTTTGAAGTCCTACTTGAAGTAAACCAATGTCGGTTTGAAGTATCCAAAATCAACTTGGAGTTTGAAATGTTTGTAAATCACCTTTGAAGTAATCAAAATCTATTCGAATCTTTTCAACAGACCTCATACCCCTCTGAACAGATTCAAAAATCTGAGTTCAAAGGACCTACCTATATTCTAAACGAAGACTTTTCAGAAATGCCTTGGATTTGAACCTATCTCTTTATTTCGACGATTTCATTCCTTCAGTGGCTTCGGAAAATTTCCCTGTACCTATAACTTTAGACTCTTTCAGTTTTTGATCTTACTCATAAGGCATTTTCTCTAATCTTCTAGATTCCTAGACATGCTACCAGACAGATAATCTCATCCATAAATACATATCTATACATACCTACACATAAACCGCAGAATAAAGTTTACGCAAGTGTAGAAACCCAATAAAGACATGGCATCAGTTTAATTTATATCTATAATATCATGTAGGAAGCATAATAAACCACTATATTTTTCGGCATCCATCTTCGAGACAAAATTCCCATTATAATATCTAATATTGAGCGTAAAACCCATACAAAGAAAATAGTAAAAGTAATAATTTTTCTTGCTGAATAGTGAATGTACAGAGATGCGCCGCACGTACCGTATGGATATTTCAACAGGTGGGAGTTTTCACTATTTAAATACCCGGTGGACCATCTTCAAGACATCATTTGATCAAAGTTTGTGTTTTAACCATCATGAAACCGTTTATGGTACGTAGTTAATTTAAATAATTTTATTTTAGATTTTTTTGAATCGCGGAAATGTTTTGTGTGGTTTTGTGATTTTTTTTGTGACGATTATTGGTGGATTTTTATTAGAATTAGAATCAATGGATAACGTTTTAATATTTTTAAGCTTTGTGATGAAAGGTTAAATTTTGGCAATCAAAGAAGATTTTTTGATATTTTTGGAAGAAATTGTTTTTGCAGTACCTATATGTTTGTCAAAAATACTTCCTAATTCCTAATTGAGAACTTCTTCTATTCCAAACTTATCCAGTGATTAGTTGCAAATTTCTTCTAAACATAATTTTCGAAGCGATCGTGCGTTTGCCAATATCTTCAGTATCTACATAGATACATGCTTACTGATGGTCAACATTTGAATTATTTTGACAAAAATTTTGTCACATTGATTAAATTGTTGATCCTGGTGCTTCTAAATTTAGAACTTCTTTTGTTCCAAAGCTTTAGTTATTTCTTTGAAAACTTTGTTAGTGACACCTTTATTCCAAATTGATAATTAATTTCCAAGCTTTTACAACTTATATGTATCTACATTTTGAAGAGCCTTATAGGTACCTATCTGGAATTTCAAAAAAAAAATCTGATGATACTAATAAGCTAGAACTCTGATAGCAGGCAGCAGTAATATGCTAATAACCTACTCTGTGCTATGTTAAAAATATTCTAGGTTTACCAAAAATAATAATTTTGGAACTTTGGCTCCTTCAATCATGAGTTCCAAGTGCCCAGGAAAATCTATGATTGCATCTCCTAACTGATTCTAGAACCATCGAAAAATTTTAGCACAAGTTAGTAGTCATGTAGATGATATTACATTAAAATCAGGTAAATTTCGTTAGGGTTCAATAATTACACTGCGATACGTTTAAATTTTGTTTTAATATTAAATAACTTTACATCGGAAGTCGATTTTACCTCTAAGATAAAATAAAACTTCTCACCAACGACACCAATCATTCAATGGATGTCGCTAGCTACAAACCGACATCAAACTTTTTTCCTGTTCTTTGCTTTGGTATGCTCACATCAACATTTATGTGACACTGATGAGAACTAAAAAGTTCGAAACAAATATATCTCCTATTTAGATGACAGTAATAAATACTCAATAAATTCATCTAGAAGGATTTTTGAAAAATTGCCTAAAACCCTTAGCTCCATCTAATGGGTTATTTCAGATGAATTTGGTAGGTTTATACCTATTACATTAGAAATATCGGTTTCGAACTTATTAGTACTCTTCAATGCAACAGAAGTAAAAATACCAAACCAAAAAACAGAAAATTTGAAACTGGTTTGTAGCTAGTGACATTGATTTAATCGATATTGGATTGCTTGTATAGTTATATAGGTACTTGGTAAAAACTTTTATGTCTGTTTCAAGATAAAGTTCCCTTTCTAATCCCTTGACAGTAATAAATCACGTTTCGAGGGTCTAGAAAGTCAGCCTTCTTAGTAGATACAAGATAGTTTGTGTTGCAGATGTTTGCAATCTCGCTCGGATCTTGGTCTGCATATTTGATCCATGATGAATAAATACGTATTATTTATTGTATTTAAGTAATAATTTAATCCACATTATTTTGGCCAGTTTCTATGTAAATCCAGTAATAAGCGTTTTGAGTTTGCGTAACCTAAGTTTTTCAACCCTGATGATTAAAAATATACCTACACGCCTACCAGGCACCAGATTTAGTTCACTTTTAAAGTACATTTCAATTAATGATATATCATTGTTGAGATTTTAAATTCATTTTATTCTGATTAGGATTTTAAGGTATCTCTGTTCTGTAAAAAGAAAATATTCTTCTGATTTCTCAAGTTGTCCAATGCAGTATAGGCATGTCGTTTTTATGTAGCATTTTTATGCCCTCGTATTATTTTTGTTATTCATCATGTTTTGAAACTTATTTCCTCTTTCCACAAGTTTTAAAAATATATCAAAAAAATAAATCTCTATTTGATTACCCTCAATTACCTATCATGCCAAAATCAGCCAGCCTAATGATGGAAAGCCTACTCGTAATTGGTAATTTCAAACTGATGTTTCTGTTACGGTTTATGAACATATTTTATCGTGGATGTAATGTACCTAATGGCTTAATTTGTGTATAAAATAAATTATATCGAAATTACACGGTTTGATGATCTAGATATTAGATAATCAGATAATCTCATAAACTATAAAATATATTCATACCTACCTGAAGCTAGGTACTCTAATGTTGATTCTTTTAATTTGACAAAATTGCTTTGTCCAACAATTAAAACTTCTTTCTCCTGGACAAGGACCATTGATAAATAAAATATTATTGAAATCGTCTTCAAATTCTTGATATGTGAATTTGCTTAGCAATTAAACTATTTAGTACCTACCTAATAAACTGAACACCCAAGGCCTAAATTGAATGTCCATAAACAATCTATAACTTTCTCACAAAGTATAAAACCTAAACAGAAAACGTGAATAATGTTAGCGCCATTAAAAATCAACAAAAGGTCATCACCTCGCCTGGGTGACGATCTCTTGGAGAGTAAAAGCTATAAGGTCACGATCAAAAGGTGAAAATGCGAAAGAAAGTCCATAAAGTATTGAGAATAATAGAATTTGAAGAGCTGTCGTAGAAAATAGGGGAATTTCTTTTTTTTTTTTTCGTATATGTATGGTAATTGGGTGCTAAACTATAGAGTTGGATTTCTATTAATTTCTCTCTGCGATGATGATTGGCAAATATTGAACAATTGAAGTGGGTACTTACATTTAATTTATTGAATGCTTGTTTTCAATTTGTTTTGACACCCTGATGGCTTGCCCAGTGATTTTGTAAAACATTTCTTGTGCACTATTCAAGCTTTGTCTTACTCCTATGCAATTGCTTATTCCCACACTAATTATTTTTATACTTTTATTAATTTATCTCATCACATTGTTGAAAAAATAGTTTTATTACACTTTTTAGTCTTCCTCCCACGGTTTCTCATACATGAGATCTTTTATTGCCAAACTATCCTGAATGTTGTAGTATTTCTTCATTTAAGATTCACGCTATTGTTTCTACTCAAAATAACAATTAACTTTGTAATCAAAGCCTCTCAAAGAGCACTTTGTAGATAAATAACTTTCGGTTTTCTAGACCTGAAGACAAACGTTGGTATCAGAAAGAATTAACGAGCTTCAATTGGACTATTTGAGCTAGAGAACTTTGGGTGTCCATTGAGAACTTAGTTCATTAAGAAATTATCTTTATTATACCTAGTATACTAAATGTGAAATCGTTCAGCTGCTCTAGTTATCCTACCTAGATCAAGCGGTGTGTCATTTATAAACTGATTTATAGTCGCCCTTGCATTGGAATTCCTAGAAATAATATTGATTTTATAATTCTTCTAACTCTGTATGGTGTAATATGAACAAGAATGATAAAAGCCAGAATCAATTCAATGGGCTGGTAGTTGATCATAGGATGTAAATCATCAAGTTTATCACAGGTGTACTTGAAGTAGGTATCAATATTTTAATTGATGATTAGTGGTCGGTTATAGCTTAGGAAAGAACGAGCCAGCTCTGTATAGGATTTTCAAAAGTTGAGAATCTCCATTTCGGAAAATTTCTCTCTGACAAGGAAACAAAATCGGTAACTATTGCTTTGTCGACATGGACTCCCGTCTCCCACACACCTCTCCAACAGTCTCTTTCGTAGTACCTATCAAGTCATTTCCTGTCTTATGTAAGTCAGTGTTTCATCTTCGTATACTTTGAACGCTCAACGCTCCAACCTTTATTATCAATTTTACCTCAGAGTATTGCTCAGAACCCCTCTCGAAATTTCTAGAGACTGAGGACTGGGATGCTTTCTCCAATGGGATTTTTCCAGAAAAATATTTTTCGCAGACTTTTCAATGGCTTACGCTTACGATTCTCCTTCCGTACTCCGAACGTCCTAACCTGGAGTCCAGGCATCCTTTCAAGGCCTCTGTAACTTGAGATTCTAACGCTTTAGTGTGGTTGTCATCGAATCCCGTAATTCAGGCTATGAGATTTCTTTTTCACCGCCTTTGAGATCATGGTGCGTGAACCTCGATAGCAGGCCCTTTAGGAAATTAATAGTTGGAGTTTGGAGGCAGATGAAACCAATTGTTCTAGGGAGTTTTTACTTTGTTACTTGAGAAAGTTTTTCCGAGTTAAGATTTAAGAAATTCCCTACTAGGTACTACAAGTTCAAGTCAATTCGTAAAAAAACCGTCATGTCATGTTAAACTACCGTAAAACGGGAATACCTTGTGACAGATTTGGGGGTTTTTTGAAATTCTCAAACATTTCCTTGCCACATAAAATTCTAAAAAAAATACACTATGTATATCCGTTCTTCCGCTACAAAATGGCAGATCTAGAAAATTGAAAAAAATAAATAAAATATTCAGCTTTTTTTTAATTTTTAAGTGTCACAATTTTACCCCTTGATGCTGGTTAACTTTGTGACAGTGCGTTTTTACAATGAAAACATAATGTAACCTCGTTATTTTTAGTCTGAAACGATAGGAAATGTCAAGAAATATTTGCTTGATAATTTTCTGATATTAAAAACACGGGTATACTGATTTAGACATTTTAAACTTTTATTGTAAATCATACGATATAGTATGTATTTATCACCATCATATTCATCCAGAAATTGGGATGTGAACTCAACCCATAGGAAGTCGTCCACATTAGGAGACATGTAAATTTCTCCCATACGAAAAAGTTGTAAAAACGAGATGCTCCCTTCGAATCAGGCTGCTAGTTACCAAGGGAGCGTACCAGCTTGCCGAGCGGTTTTTGTAGCGAGTGAGGTATGTGCTACCACCAGCCGGTAGAAAAATTTGGCTTCGCGCGCCGAATTTGAAATGTTTGGCTAGTTGAATTGAATTTCACAATATCACAAAGTTTCCCCCTTTTCACAAAGTATTCCCGTTTTACGGTATTGGAGTTTTCAATAATTATACTCGGCATCTAACAATGTCGTTTTATATTAATATAATTATCTTTATTTGCAGCTGTTGTCTGTGCTAGTAGCGCTAGCCAGCGCACGTCCTGAAGCAGGCTACAGCTACAGCCCTCCGAGCACGTCGTACGGTGCACCCTCCAGCGGCGGAGGTGGATTCTCCAGCAGCGGGGGTGGATATTCTGGCGGTGGTGGTACGTATCCATGATTATAACAATGCCAGTTTAAATATAGCGGAAAGCTATCAGATTGTGTCTCAGTAATGTTTTATTTTTAATTATAAACTTTTCCTTTTCAGGAGGTGGATTTGGCGGAGGCGGTGGATTTGGAGGCGGCGGCGGATTCGGAGGAGGTCAGTATATTGTGAATTCTGAGAAAAAGTTTTTGTTCTTATCATCGTCAAATACAAAACTATGGAATTGAAGAGCCTACACTGAGTACCTACCTTATCATTATCTATAATTTAACAGACAAAATCTTGAATCGGTCCCATCAGTATAAGTAAGGACTATTCAAACACATCATTTCCGTATCAGTGCCGTTTCAGTTCAGTATCAGTGGCAGTGAAAAATAAAATATCGTCTATTTAGTTTCAAATGAACCTGTTTAGACAAGTCCGGCGCAGAGACGTTTTTTACCATCAGTGCTGCGTCAGTGTCAGTTCCGTGTTTTTAATAAAAGTCGGCAACGATATTTTGTGTATTTCACTGACGGAAATCGATTAAAATTTGCGTTTGATCTCTGAATTCTGATATTTCACTGAAATCAGACGGACGGATGTGTGTGAATTGTCACCACTGATGAAACACGGATAACACTGATACTGAATTGACGCAGCACTGATATGGAACTGATCTGTGTGAAGAGTCCTTAAAGTTGCAGTTTTGCTGAGTACATTCACCTCGCAAGCTCTAATTTGATTGAATTTGATTTATCCTGATTGATATCCTGGCTGAATTTCAATCATATAAAAGTGCACCAGTAGATTAGATTTAAGCAGATCTCAACTGTTGCAAAATTAATCTGTAGAACGTTGGTTACAATTATTGGGATCAAGCCAAAAATGAGATGGGGTTGGAATCAGTAAATCATTATGAAACGTTTGAATATAAGACAGACACAAATAAAGACTGGAAAACGGCTTTTATATCATCCATTCACAAGAAAGGAATTACGCTAGACTGCAATAACTATCGAAGCATATCAGTCACAAGCACACTAAAAAGACTATACGGTAGAATCCTGCGTAATCTCATTGAAGAAGTGAACAGAGTTGGGACCTTTGTTGTAGTTCACTAGAGGGTTGTAAGGCCTCCAAGGTCCGTGTCTCTGGGCGTGCGGTTCAGGAATAATTCCCTGAAGATCACTAGTTACCTTTAACCAAGATAACGAGTACTAGCTCTTGAGAAGGACTTTGTGGATAATTATCACAAATGACTAATTTGCCTAATTAAATGAGTACCCAAGTAATATTGTTCAATACTGGTTTTATTAATCAAATTGGTTCCTATTTATATTGTACATTTCAACTTGAACTTACTATATTTATCATAACTAATAACAATGAACTGTGTGTTGACCTTGTTTAGGCAGGTATCTAAAACATTGGCGCTACACTGTATCATTACGGAAATTAAGGTGACTGACGCCGTGAATGATGAATCGTGATTTTTTAGTAAATTTGGGCAAGGTTTGTGATACTTTGATTACCTTGCCAAATTTATAACAAATTGTGTATTTTATAATATGTAGAAATTTCAGACTTAATTAAATTTTATGTTCAAATTTCGAAATGTGTAATTCAAATTTTATGTTGATTAAACAAGAAGTTTATAGAGAAAAAGAAGAAGAAGCGCGGCCCAAGAGCAGGAAGATCAGGTACAGACAACGTATTTTGCCTAAAACAAGTCAAAGAAAAGAGATCTTGTAGACATTTGGAAACCCACCTCACATTATTGTGGACCTACAAAAAAACATACACTACAGTCCCAGTATCCAGAACTATGGAAGGTATTAGAAAAATCCAACATCAATCACACCTATATTTAAAGAACTATATAAAAACCGAAAATCAAGAATTAGGACAGGTAAAAAACTCACAGATGCATTTATAGTGAATAAAGAACTACATCAAGGACGTTATATCTCTCCTACGCTTTTTAAAATATGAGTAACAGTAGCACTGAGAAATTGGAAGAGGGAGATCCATGGAATGGGTATAGAGATAAATGATAAATACGTGTTTATTCTTCAGTTTGCAGATGATCAGGTCATAGTGGCCAGTGACAAAAAGGACATGCAATATATGATTAGAAACCTGATAGAAGAGTACAAAGAATGAGGCCTGAGAGTTAATATAAATAAAACAAAATATCTATGTGTAGGCAACCAGAACAGAAACTTGGAAGTTGACGATGGTCAGGAAATTCTGCAATGTCAAGAATATGAATATCTAGGTATCACATTCGATAACACCGGAACAGACGTGAAAGAAATAGAAAAGCGAATAGTTAAAGCTAAAACAGTAATAGGATGCCTAAATGGAATCTTATGGATCAAGGAAATAACAAAGAAGAGAAAATTCAATATATACGAGCCAATGATAAATAGCAGCCTTTTATATGGAGCCGCGACTTGGAGAATTACAGACAGACAAAAGAAAAAAGTGGAAGCAGTTAAAATGGATGCTATTTGAAGATCCATGCCAATCTGACGAAGAGAGAATAAGGAACGACAATATAAAACAACAAATGGAAATAGAGGGAACCATAGTTCAGGGCATTGAAAGGAAACAACCCTCCTGGTATGGACACGTAGAACAAATGCCAAATACCAGGTGGCCCAGAAAAATGCTGCATTGGAAACCAATAGATAGAAGAGAACGAGGAAGCCCAAAATTGGAATGGCAGAAGACAATACTTAAGTCCATGAGTGAAAGAAATCTTTTATCAGAGAATTACGACGATTGAAGAGGATGGAAATTAGGTGTTGGACAACGAAAAAATATGTTCTAAAACGACATGAATATAAGTCAATCAGAGCTGGGCAGTAGCTAGCTACCAAGTAATTAAGTTACTAGCTTAGCTACTTTTTTGGTAGCTAATAACTTATTCAAGCTACTTTGAAAAAAAGTAGCTTGTAGCTGTAGCTTTTGGTAATGTGTTTCAAGTATTCATAAGCTACTGTGAAAAGTAGCTAGCTACTAAAACAAGCTACTTAAGCTACTTTTGGTAGATAGTTAATAGTTATTTAGGTATTAATGGCGGAAAGTGTCATTTACCGCCCGAGGGTGTGGTTAACGATACTTAACACCCAAAATACTTATTACGTTCTATGCGCAGCGAACTCTTCTAGTTCAAAAATGAAATAACTATACCTATAATATAATGGCATCCATTCGACATTGTTTCATGAATTACAAGTGAGGTTTTCTGAATTACATTTGAACAATCTGAATTACAATTGTGGTTTTCTGAAACACATTTATTTTTTTCTGAATTACAATAATTGGGAAAGATGTACTGGTTAACTTTCAATTTTAAAAGATGTTCGATAAAAGGATGAAGTTCGAATCCCATCAATTAATAATGAGACGGGAAGAATTCCAAATCTCACTAAAAATGGTATGAAAGAAGTATCAGAAGTAGATGACATAAACAACATTAATGATGGACTAAACACTAAACGAACAGCAATAAGAAGGATAGAAAATATAGCAAACAAGAGAACCATAAAAAGTATAGGGGAATTGATGAGACAATGATGAATGATAATTCTAAGCGATCAGAAACAATATACAACGTACCTAGAACGAAATATGGAGAATTCAATACAACAATAACTTCCAAGAAAGACATAAGAGTCGTAGAAGATTAGGCAGAGGGTCAAAATGCCTAAAACCAAGACTCGGCGGTACCAACAAAACCATGCGAAGAAAAGATGAAGATGGGTCAAAAGAAATGAACAAAAACAAAATGACTTCAGCTGCGAGAAGCTTTTATTAAGTCAGTTCAAAGCGTGAAGGCACATATCGATAACCAGCGAAAAATAAAAACTGTCGATTTGGAAGATAAACCAGATATCAAAGACTTTGAGATGAGAAAGCAATTAACGATCTTTAAAACAACGAAGATAGAGTGATAGCTGAAATGCTGAAGTAAGGAGGAAAGGATATATATCAATACTGGAGAGAATATTCCATAAATATCTAAGAAGTGCAGAGATATCAGAGAAATCGAATATTACAATACCCTCGTAGTTATGCTCTTCAAAAAAGGTGATAGAATTTAGTGGAGTGACATCAGAAAATTACGTTATATCTTTTTACTATCCCAAATATACAGGGTGTTGATAAAAACAATAACCAAACGCTTATCCCTTGAAATGGACAACTGAACCAGTCGAACACGTTGGGATGCGCCATGGTTTCACCACTTATGACCAACTTCCAACCATTCTCATTTCGTGGACTAATGTTCGATAGCATTGAGCTATGGGACATATAGTGAACATAGGTTGCTCATACTTTTATTATAAATTTTGAAGAAGAGAAGCAATGTTAGTCTGAACTGAACTGATAGAGAGAAGTGATGTCAATGAAACTTTTCACTATGGCGAACAAGGACGTACCTATTGAAGAAACCAGACTAGACATGCCCTGATTATAAACGACGAAATACCTAATCAGCCGACGACATCGTGATCATTTTCAACAGTTTCACTACAGCTACAGTTGATGTCTAGTCAAATAGCAAGCGCATCAAAGAAATGAGTCTGAAGATGATAATATATGGGAAAACAAGGGACCATCAAAAGTCTCTGTTTGGATGAAGTCACTGAATACATCTGATGAAGTGCAATTGGATAAAAGCAAACAAACAACCAAAATCGCTCGAAAAACAAGAGCAGGTTTTGGCGAACTTTCCTGATTCCTGAAGTACCAAAAGATTCCATTTTACTTGAGAAGCATAGTTTTCAACAAATGTCCAATGCCCATAATAATAAACTTATGGTTGATAGTTGACAGACTTGAACATAGCAAAGACGACAAACTAAGTATCTCTAAGAGTCAAAGAGTCATGAAGCGGGTAATGTTGAAAATGAGACTCTCCGACAAACACTTGGATAAGAGCGAGAACTAAGGTGAAGGGCATAGCATTGAAAGTCACCCCAAACTGAAATCGGTTTCCCAGGACATCTTGCAAAGCAGAAAGACCCCAAATGGAACTCAGAATGAACACAATGAAGTGAAGCTGCTATGGTCAGAGACCAAAAGGCTAACCATGACAGATAAAATAGATCGACAAACTCAAACAAAGATACCGCAGTATTACACTGGACACATGTTGCTCAAAAAGCATAGAGTTCTCTGGCGGTAATTTTATCCAAATAAATGATAATAGCTTATAGTAGAAGAACTTGATCTTCCAAGTTCAAATTACATGTTTAACTTCTTTGGATTTTTCCATTCCGGGAATAATAATTCAAAAATTCACAGTCCTTCGTAAAGATGTAACCCCAGGAGACAAAATTTACGTGATTTAGGTCCGGTTTATTCATCTTCAAATAAACTTACTGTGGTAACTATTTGCAAGATAAATTTACCGTTCTATTGGTCGTCGGATAACTGGCCGACCAATGGGATAACAGATTGCGTTCTTATCCGTCAGATTACATACCTGACAGTTTATCAGAAGGTGAATAAACCGGCACTTATGGCCGTTTGCACCGACCATTTTAAGGAAACCTTAGCGATACGATAAGTATTCCTTAAAATGATATTTTAATGGCTGTTTGCACGGACCATTTTTAAGGAAGCCTTAGCGATAAGTATTCCTTGAAGTGACATTTCTCCATGTAAAAATGTCATCTTAAGGAATACCTATCGCTTAGGCTTCCTTAAAATGGTCGGTGCGAACGGCCATTACATAGAGAACTGTCCCTTTGAGGAATACTTATCACTAAGGCTTCCTTAAAATGATCGGTGCAAACGGCCATTGGATAGATAAAAATAGATTTTGATTATGATTTGACGTCATGTGGCAGCACTTTTTCGCAATTTGGGTCCTCATCCTAGGAAAACAGAAACATTTTCATTGTTGAAAAATATACAGGGTGTTCATTTTAAAACTTTCCACCACCTTTTCCATTTAAGATTTTCTAGGGGGTGAGTGGGGAATTGAAAGAGAGGAGGTGAATTTTGCATAAAAACTCATCCCCTTCAAAGTATAGTTGACTTGTTTCAGGGATTTTTTCGAAACTTTCTCAACTCCGAGATAATAGGGGTGGTAAGCTTTGAAAAGATCACCCTGTATACACGAAGTAATGTATGCTTTAATTATCGAGGAAATGTGTCGTCATTGTAAAAGTCATTCACATTTATTTTTGTGTAGAACAGGCTCATACTGCCTCTGTAATTAAACCTAAAATTACTCATTCATGATTTTCAAACGTTTAATTAACTTTCACCTTTTTACTTTAACGCATGACGTTTTTTTTTACCACATTTTTGAATCAACTAGAACTTTTGCCTTTACTCTCCTCATTGATAAACCTCTGATGGGGTTTCTTATTCTGGGCAGTAATTCTAATAGCTAATACAATCAACGCTAATAGGTACTCAAGTTTGACTTATTGTATGTAAGAACCCTATTCCATTTCCATCTTTTTTTAACAGTACAATGCAATCTTTGAATTAGTACATAAAACAACAATTAAACTTATTTTTAGAATAGACAAGATGGGATTGTATGCTAAAAAAAAATATATACCTACATACTTAGATTGTCTACAACGTTGGAAAAATTTAAGCACTAAATTTTGCTCTGTTACGTTACAACTTGGGCCTGTTTGTTCAGAATACACGTAAATGGCAACTCAATTAAAATATTGTATTACAATTTATACATAATAATATAAGTGGCATATGGCATTGAAATCTACAGGGTGTCCTACTAAGGTCGGCAAGGTACAATATTATGGAAACCATAGACCTTACGGCTTCGGGATTTTTGTTTTTCACTAAATCGGCCAAGAGAAATTGATGGAAATAATTTTCAAGTTTCTAAGATAACCGCTAGGGGGTGGAATTACGATGATATAACTAAAAATTCAAATTTTCCCAAGAAATCGCTATATTAAGATGCTCTTTTAACAACAGTTTATTAATTTTTGCTCCAGTTTGGTTATTAGGCTTTTTTCGTATCTTCACTAATAAGGGAAAGGGAAGCTGGTGAAAAAATAGTTTAAAAAATGGCTGTAGATACAGAGATTCCATACCCCTTATCCAAACTGATTCAATTTGGGCTCATTTGAAAGGGAATTTCATTGTTATTAAGAACACCACTTCGTTCGAGATTCGAGGTCGATAGGTCCCACCGCGTCTTCTAGAGGGCGCTGTTTAGCCAAGATCCAGTTTTTTCTAATTTTCTTGAAAAATCCAAATGGCATGATATTATTTTTTGATTGCTGTGCTCAAAGAGCAAAAAAATGTCTACATTTTGGCGCAAACCACAATTCAATATCTGCATTCGTTTTCAAGTTATGTGAGGTCTATGGTTTCCATAATATCGTACTTCGTCGACCTTAGTGGGTATGAAGAAGAAAATTGAAAATGAGCTAAAATGTCTTTAGCATATAATAGAAACGGCATGGTACCCCGTAGTCGATCCTGATTTCTTTTTAAATCATATATCTCCCTAATTTTAACTTTATCTTTTTCAGGCGGTGGATTCGGTGGTGGAGCTGGAGGCGGCGGAGGATTCGGTGGAGGTCAGTATATATGAAACTTGATGTTTTAATTTTCAAGAAAAAACTTACCTACATAAAATATCAGGAATAAAATAAATTGTTTGTCTATACGGGATTATAATTTTTTAAATATACCTACAGAGGTATTGAAATTATATACTGATATGCAGTTTTGTCCTCGAGGATAATTTTTCATTTGCACCAGTTTGTAATTGAAAAACATGTTTTGAAACAATTCAAACCACTTTTTGAAATACTTTTGAGGATTAATTTTACATAGAGCCTTTGGGCATTTTTCCATTCCCAATAGGGTTTTTGAAACACATAATAAATAAGCAAACCTCATCTATTCATATTTTCTTTAAGGAATCGGTGGTGGATTTGGAGGAGGCGGCGGCGGAGGTGGAGGCGGCGGATTCGGCGGCGGATTCGGAGGTGGCGGCGGTACCACCATCCAAAAACACATCTACGTGCACGTACCTCCACCAGAACCCGAAGAGTTTAGGCCCCAAAGACCCATCTCAGTCGGCCAGGCTCAGAAACACTACAAAATTATCTTCATTAAGGCACCAAGCGCACCTACACCAACTGCACCAGTGATTCCAATTCAACCACAAAACGAAGAAAAGACTTTGGTTTACGTTTTGGTCAAGAAACCTGAGGAAGCACCTGAAATCAATATTCCAACTCCTCAACCAACCCAACCAAGCAAACCAGAAGTTTACTTCATCAGATACAAGACACAGGTAGAAACATACTTTTTAAATTGAGTAAATTAATATGCCTATTATGGCGTTTAATCCGCATTTTTTTCATTACGTGACAAGTTGCAATATCTATACTTAACATCAGTTGTGCATGACGCATCTTCCTAATTTATTGTTATAGTAGAAAAAGAAAGTAGCGAGGAAGTACAATAATGTCTCCGTGCAATATAATATAATGCTTTAATCAGACTTGCGGTTAAGTAAGTACCACTTGTGTGGTGTGTACTTTCACTTTAAAGATGTGCGGCACATTACTAGAACAAAGGTCGAATAATTTGCGATTTAATTGTTTTATGGTAGTTCGCGTTCTTTAGTTAGATATTTACTTTAAATAATAAATTATAATTTACAATTTGCTAAAAGCTTTATTTGTTTCAGAAGACTTCAGCCGGAGGCGGTGGCGGCGGTGGTGGTGGTGGATTCGGAGGTGGATTCGGCGGTGGTAAGTATTAGTTTGATTGATTATATTTTTCATTTCTTTCATTATAGAAATTACAATGTTTAACTTTTATTTATTCCAAGATACATAAGTTTTTTTTTTTTTTTTCGTAGGAATTGGAGGCGGAGCTGGAGGTGGCGGCGGAGGTGGATTTGGAGGAGGTAGATTTTTAGATTTATTAAGCTACATATTCTCAGGTCCTTACTAAAAATACCTGAACAACTACATAAATGAACGGTTCCGAAACCACTCAGTATACGAATTTTGGATTCTACGCACAAATTTTGGGTTTTGTGCAAAATCGTGACGGTACATTGTTTCCTGGTGTGCTGGAACAAAACTTTAGTCACTTTGGGGGTTGAAATTTAAATTTGTTCTTGGGGCTCTTCCCTGTTAAATCATGTCTCTAGTAACTCTAGACTTCACGTGTCAGAAAATATTCTGGATCCTGAAATCACATTTCCCCTTATGGCCTGTATTTTAAAAGTCAAATTTAACATTCCTTTTTTTACAGGTATTGGCGGTGGAATTGGAGGTGGAATTGGCGGCGGTATCGGCGGAGGCATCGGCGGTGGTCACGGAGGCGGTAAAATATACCTTTTTCACAAAATACGTCTTTACTGAATATTTTTTTTTTAGGAATTGGTGGTGGCGGTGGAGGTGACGTATCGTCAAGTTACGGACCCCCAGGCAAATCTGGCCCCTACTAAACCCCCTCAAACAGTCTCGGTGCCATTTTGTCAACGAACAAACACGATTCGCGACGTTTCATTCAGCATCACTCGACATCATCAATATATTAGAAGACAGCCTCCATGACCCGCACCAATAAATGTTGCGATTCTCCAGTTTGTCCGTCACCAGATGGCGCCGTTCTTATCTCTTTTGTATAGTGATCTTATTTGCTTAATATTTTTCTCTGAATAGAAAATGTTTCGCAACTTTTCTCAGTCGTCCGCCCTGGCGGGTAAAAATCGAATCTCCATGTTTTCAAGACTTATAAAAAGTCGCCGTATATGTAAATTTTTTCTGTGGAGATTTTCGTGATTTTTACGAGCTTAGGGCGGGTGACAATTTTGTAAATATTCGTGCAATATATTTTATGTTATATTTTTTGTATATTTTATATTTTATTTTTGTATATTTTTTTTATTTTTCGAGAACAAAATACGGTGACAAATAGAATGTATTTAAGTAAAAAAAAAGAATTTTATTTGAAAGCTTTCGGCCTGTAACATGGTGCTAAATTTTTTTTATCACTTCGGCTGGAAATTAATTCTAACTTCACCCTTCACCAACTTTAATAATAATGAAAATTACATACCTATGTTTACTAGTTGATGGGCCTGTCTCTGCCAGACAATGCAAATAAATTGTTTGTTCGCATACAAGCCTCGCTGAAGAATGTTGAAGAGTACATCGATTTTGCGTAGAATCATTGTATAGGAAAATTTACGAGTGGCTCCTTGCTCCTTGAGGTTTGTGTGAAAAAATCGCCCAAAATCGCGAGTTCTCGAGAACGAGGTTACGCTCTTAGTTCTATACACTTCAGCCACCTGCAACCTAAGCCTGCAACTCTCAAGCATTTCGTTTTCCGAAATCAGGTTCTGTTGGTTAATCCTTTATTGAACACGTACATACAAGTAATACATTTAATCCATTACATCGATGTACTTTTCAAGCTTCTTCAGGGCTTGTATGCGAAAATGGGGCACATAAATCTGTCATTATCAGACGATCTACACTGTAGTCTCGCTACACCATTTCCAAAATTGTACCATTGCCTTTGCTGTGCATTCACTACTTATCAAGAATGGTTCATAAAAATAATTTGTTTTTCAATTTTTGGCATTTAAGAGGGGCGTCAGATAAGAGTCAGCGCGCCATTTTTTGGGCTTCATGACATACATTAAATCATGGTCGGCGCACTCATATTGCCGCTTTGAGCCAGCTTTTTTAGTTCACTCGTGACCGCTGATGGCTCTGCTGGTCTTATAAAACTGAGGTTATGAAAGTGAAAATGAAACAAATACCGAATGTTCTGTGTACCAAATCCTTTATCGGAAAAGTCATTGTCATTTGGCCTTGCCATATTTCAAATTTTAAATTTAAATTGTTGTGATTGGTTCGAAACGACAAACCAATCAGAAGCCGTAAATTCAACCAATACTAACAATTTCGGATCATCGGGCCATCAGATGACGGATGCATGAGACTCCGGCTTAAGACGTTTCGACGATACCGGTAGCATTAAAAATTTGTCGCGCACTGGCAGACCGAAAGTGGTAATCAACAAGTCGGCTAGGATTGCAACAGGGTATCAGCCATAAGTCAGTGTACGATTCACTAGGTACATAAATAAAAAAATCGTCCTTATAAAGTTTACCTTGTTCAGGAGCTCAAGGAAGATGACTTCGACAGACGGTCAGAGTTTTGCGAAATTCTTATGGAGCGTTGTAACTTGGTCACGTTCAGCCGAACTCAACATGTTGAATGATTAAGTAGCGGCTTTGTTCCAACAAGTGAAATACACAAAGTATAACAGTTTTGATTGGCCAAGAGCTGATTTTCATCTGTTTCCAACAAAGCCGCTGACTAATCACTCAACATGTTAAGTTCGGCTGAACGTGACTATTGATCCCTTCTTTGCAAATAAAATCCATATTTCTGACGGAGCTGCTTATGCTCAGTTCTGTGAATAGGCACAACTGCAGATTCTGATCTACTACTAATCCTCACTGATGGAGCAAGTACATACTCAGCGCCCTCAGAAAGTAAACGTGGGGGCAGATATTGTTGGCCAGTACCGTTCTTCATAGAGAGAAATTTAACTTCGGACAAATACTTACGATCACTACAAGATAAGGTTATTCCTAGTTCAAATATGCTGACTCCAAACAGGCAGAATACTTAGTTCCAGCAAGATGGTGCACCAACGCATTTTGGTGTACAAGTCCGGAAATTTTTTGTTCTTGATGAAGAGTTTCCAAAGTAGGACGAGGAGGTGAAAATGAATAGACAGCGAGATTATCGGACCTCATGCCCTTCGATTTTTTCCTGTAGGGGCATTTAAAAACAAACGTGCATGAAAGTAGACCATTAGATCTTAATCTTAATGACCTTAAGAATAGAATACTGGGTGAAATTCGATCTATTCTTGGTGGAATCTTCTGGGTGAAATTCGATCTATTTAGGTGAGATCCTCGGCAATGTTATCCAGGAGTTAAATGACAGGTTATTGCCTAGCTAGTAATGGAACTCATTTCGAACATTTGTTGTAATTATTTTTAGTGTTTATAACAATAAACAGTTTGAATTGTTTTTTCACTTGTTCCGTCACTTTGACAGATAAGACCCCTAAATCCCATATTTTGTCAAAAATTTCATGAGCGAAATTACCAAAAAGCAACAAACTTGAATAAAACCAAGAGAATAATTTTGCCTACATAATTTTTTCTTGCGTGGTATTCGGCTGGACTATTTCACGAGAAAAACAAGCCAAATTTTCATTTGGAAAATTTATTTTCTTTAGTCTTCTTGTCAAACTCAATTAGGCAATTCAATCCATCTGTCAAAATGGAAAATTCAATATGGCGTGGCAGCCAAGCAAGTTTGTTTTGATTATGTTTTTATGCTTATTTTAAATTATTTTGCTTAGAGTTTGGTTTGCAACTTTGATTTTGATTATTTGATAAAATATTTGTTGACTAGGAACCTGAACTATTAAATCGGGTGAAAACTAGATATTTTTTCGTATTTTTTGGCTCATGTGTGGCCGCCACGCCATCTTGATTGTCACGTGGTTTGAATTGCCTAATAGTTTTTTACCTTAACCACACAAAGGCCCAGTTTCACAATCGGTGGTAACCAGTGCTGGTCAGTCAACTAGGGGTCAGGGATTAACTGGGACTTCGCTCATTAATCTGTTTCACACTAAATAAACAATCGTTGGTTAAATGACTAGTGGTTGAATTTTATTTCTCAAAGGTTGGTACTTGATTTTTTGACAAAATTTTAAAACCCACCTTGAAAAATAAAAAAAGGCCCCTCTTGAATATAACGTCACTTTTTGTGATTTGTCATTAATAATTATATTAATTTTTGTCAGTGGCAGTAAAATTTCACAGATATCTATTGAATATTGGGTTTTGTGTCGTGTTTCCTGTTTAAATTTAAATCATGGAGTTAAGTGAGAATTTTTCAAAGGAAGAAGAATATTTATTAGTGACTCTCGTGCAAAAATATAAGTTCATTATAGAATGTAAAAAAAGCGGCGCATCGACGTGAAAAAAAAAAAAAGAGGGTGTAAAACGCTTTAGTGCAACAAAAATTAACAAATTTTCTATAAAAATTAGTTGATATATCCTTTATACAGTTGGTTTTGTATCAATTTAAGTGCGGATATTGACGTTTTTTGCCGTAGTAAGCGAATATTCACATTCACAATTACTTACACATAACCAGTAGATATTAAACCAGTAGATATTAAACCAGTAGATATTATAACCAGTAGATATTGAACGAACTGTAACTCAAACTAACCAAAAGTATGCAAACTAACCAAAAGTATGCAAACTAACCAAAAGTATGCAAACTAACCCAAACTAACCCGTCCACGTAATGCGTGCGAGTCCTTGTATGTTGAAATTGAATTGAAAGGTAATTTTTGGGCTCTCGGGAACGGGCTATAAGGCGTTTTCTGATCAAGTTCATTTTTGGTACACATATATAGGACGTCAAAAGAAATTTTTCAAAAAAAAAATTTGACCTTGACTGTGACCTTGATCCTGACCTTGACCATCAAATTCACGTAAATGGCAGTTTAACGTGCTGAAAACTTGTATAGTGTTGAAAGGCATCTCAAGTAACCTATATACCGAGTTTTAGCCTTCAAGGTCATACACATTCAGAGATACGGCAACTCCGCATTTTCAGTTTGGGCTCTCGGGAACAGGGTAGAAGGCGTAGTCCGATTGAGTTCATGTTTGGTATACATATTTAGGCCGTAAAAGTTAACAGTTCAGTAAAGGTCCTTCAAAAAAAATATCATGCTTCTTCATTATAGATAGTTTAGTTTGATCCCAAAATATTGTTTTATGATCGAAAATGTTGGCGCAAATAACTATAAATTGGATTTTATAAATATTGAATGAATCCTCTTCTCGACCTTTGACACAGATCAATATATAATATCTATTCTTATCAGCTTAATATCACAATCGCTCTGTTTAGCAGATAAAAATTTAATAAACGTAAAAAGCATCATGTGGTAGATATTCGAATGAAGAGAAGAGCTAAGTGTTCAAACCATTTTTTGAAAAAAACATTATTGAGTAATGATAAAGCGTATAATATCTACTGAACTTTTGAAATTGGTACACTTTAACCGACAATAACTGTGCTATATCGAAACTGATCAAAAATATGCAAACTAACCCGAACTTACCCGTCTTTGTACTGCGTGCTAGTCCCCGTAAACCTATCTAATCGAGAATTACAAAATAATGCAAAACAACCCAACTTAACCCATTCTTGAAATGCATACTAGTATCCTTGAACATTTTTATTTTATCTAGCTTGTCGCGCTTGGTTGTCGTTGTTAATCAGTACACTGTATCCAGTTTTAGATAAGTAATTAATATTCAATATCATGATGTTTCCTATTAAAACTGCCCAAATTGGCCCACCCTGTACATAATTTCAGCACGATAAATAGATATTTACGTGAATTTCATTAGTCAAGGTCACGGTCAAGTTCACGGCCAACGGCCAAGGTCAATTTTTTTTTGGGGAATTTCTTTCAGCGGCCTTTATATGTATACCAAAAATGAACTCGATTGGACTACGCCTTCTAGCCCATTCCCGAGAGCCCAAACTGAGAATGCGGGGTTACCGTATTTCTCAATATGTATGACCTTGAAGGCTAAAACTCGGCGTATGGGTTATTTATGATGCTCTTCGGCGCTATACATAATTTCAGCACGATAAATTGACATTTATGTGAATTTCACTGGTCAAGGTCACGGTCAAGGTCGCGGCTAAGGTCAATTTTTTCTTGGAAAAATTTCTTTCAGCGGCCTTTATATGTATACCAAAAATGAACTCAATCGGAGTGTGCGTTCTACCCTGTTCCCGAGAGCCCTATTCATACCAACTTAACCCTTAACTAGCGTGGTGGAATTTTCATGCGTACATACCGTCCTGACGTCCCTGGGACCACATAACTAATGGACCGAAAAAAATATTGTTTTCAACAAAAAAAAATTTTTTTATAGTTTTGTTACATTATTTAACATATTATTGATAATATTTTATTATTATATTTGCTGAATAAAAAATCGCGTGTCTTATAAAATAGTATATTATATACCTAGGTAGA